GTCTTTACGCATCAGTTTGGTGGTAATTGGCTTCCTCTCTTCAGGTACTACAAACATTCTAAAAAATATGGCCAATTTGTACAAATTAGCAAAGTCAATTTTCCTTAAAAGAGGAACTTTTTTTTTTAAAAGTAAATTTTAAGTATTCAGTGGCAGCAAAATGAAGAAGCCAGAAGAGAAGTACTGGGTTGTTGGGTTGAATGCAAGCAAGTTATTTTGTGTTGTATGCAAGGCACCCGATTCTTTCCCACAGGTAAGGTGTCTCATTTTCACCCATTTTGCTTTGGATTTGATGCTTGCATGTATAAATTTTATTTTTTGACTGATTCTCCAGGTTACTCCTAAACCAGTCCTCACTCTATTTGATCTTTCCCTTCCTCTTGCATCCTCTGATCTTGGAGCAGATAATCTGGAGAATGAATTCATATTAAATAATATGCATCTATCCCGGGTAAATCTTTAATAACCTCTTTTGTATTCTATGCTTCAAGTCGAGTAGTGCCTGTTACTGTTGGAGTTTCAAATTAAAATAGCTCCTTCTGAATGCTATATCAGGTTCAGAAAGCAATTGAGGAAATGCTATCCAATGGCCAGGACACCACCTTGCTTGATGATGAGGCATTCAACCTCGAAACTGCTATTGATCGGTGCATTTTGAGGCTCATTGCATCCTGTTGCAATGGTAATTTTGTTTTTAAAGATACAGCCTTTCATATAATCATGTTTTCACATCTTGAGGGGCTGATAAGTATAATCTGGACATGCGTCTTTCTGTTTTTTTCCTCAAAGGTGACAAGCTGGTGAGAGCAACTGAACTTGTTAAACTACTTTCAATGGAAAAATCAGTGAAGGGAGCAATAAAGCTTGTGACGGCCTTGAAGCTACCAAGCTTGGCAGAACGCTTCAGTTCCATATTGGAGGTAACCAAACCATTCACAACTCATGACATGAAAAAGGGTAGATAAACCAAGCAAGTCACTTAGCTTTTGTTTGGCTTGAGGATGAAATAGAAAAGATAAAAATGTGCCAGAAATAGATGGAGAGAGAAGAATATATGGTCCATTTTGTGTGTTTCTGGAATGATAGAAATTGAGAAGAAATGGGTCGATATTGGGAGATTCATTTATCTCATATTTCTCTCATTAAGAGATGAAAAGAAAGTGGGAAATGCCATTTTCATTTTTCCTCACCAAACATGAGAAGTTCTCCATCTATATTTCTCTTTTCTATTTCATCTAAACGACTTAACCAAACAAAAGCTCAAATGTTATTTTTTTCTCTTGGTTTATCTCATGTCAATGTTGTAAAAAACTCTAGAAGCTTAGACACATGTTTAGTTGTGACGCGACATCTAGTTGGTGATTAATACGGATTAGGTGAGATATAAGCGGAATCAGACGAGGATTAAAAGAGAATATATGTGGCCAAGGATAGCATGATGTTTATATATGATAGCACTAGGCAAAGTTTTTTACAATAATGGCTCAAGCACATTTTGAACTCAAAGATTATATGGCTCGATTCAAACCCACGCCATACGATCTTTGCACTTAGTGATTCTCATCTATATAGTACCTGGAAACTCTTAAAAGCTGTTTTTCTAATCTCATATCAGATCCTTATGAGTGGTATACCATTTAAAGGTAGTGTGTCTAAACTCAAAACCTGAACCCTAATAAGAATACGAAACTGAAATCCAACTACAAGCTAGGATGACTATGGGTTATTGTTTTTAATAACTCTTTATTGGTGTGGGGTACACCATTTGTACACTAAGTCTCTCTTTATTTGTACAAATTTTTATCATCAACCAATGCCCTTGCAGGAGCGTTTAAGCAAAGAAGCAATGGAGAACACTGCTCCTGCGCTGCCAAACTCGAACTCTCCTGTATGCGAAAATGCTGCGTCCAAGGCTTCTCACACTACACCAGAAAGCAGCACTAAAGCAATGCATCTCTCATCCACTCCTTCCTCAACAAAGAAGATCTCGCCGGACCCAGATTTCAACCTGAAAATTGAACAAGCCCGACCAACTCCATCGGGAAAGCCGGGAGAAGACAAATTCGTTGGCACTCCAGGAGAAGTGAAGAACATGAAAGTAAACGGTGTGGAAAAGACGGAAAAGCTAAAATTCCTTGGAGACTTTAAGGCTGGCCAAGATGTAGGAGAGCAAAAAGCGGTTCGCCCTTCTAACCCGTTTTTAAAGCCATCAACCAAGCAAGAAACTACATCTTTGCTTGACTCACTCAAAAAGATGAGTGGTGAGAAGAGAAGATAAATAGTGTTTTAAAAAAACACTTCACCTAAGAGTTTTTTTTTTCTGTCAAGAGTTGTAACAAAATCAATTATGTAAATATGCTTTAGGTAAATCCGTTAATGTATTTTGTTAAGTTTTAAGTAGGATCAGGAGAAGAAAAGTTTGCTACACAAAACAACTGATTCATTGCTTATGCCAAGTGTAACAAAGGGCTAAGACCATCCTCCAACACATGCTCTAAATTTAAACCCAAAATGTAGTAAATGTCAAATTAAACATTAATTCATCTTTAATTTATTATACTAGATTTAAACTCAAAAGAATATTCTTATGTTCTCCCCGTCTTGGAATTATCTTCTTGATTGGTTTTCTTGGTTAAAACTTTTAATTTTGACCATAAAGTATAGAAAAATATATTGAGTTATGATTTAAATTTAAAAAGACGTCTAAAATGACATTAGTTACTTATACATTAATTACCTATACCAGTTTTGAGCATATACGGTGCCCAAAATGTTAAAATGGTGGTTCTTACGCCTTAAACCCTCACTCTAACCCACCCCTTCCCCTCCCTACCCTGAAAGAAGTAGGTGTTTAAACAATGATTTGTTTTGGACTATAGAAAGAAAAAAAAGACAGTTGAATGGAATGTATTAAATGAAATGATGACATGGCCTTGTGTTGAAACAACTCAAAAGGTAAACGACATGACTTAGAGACAAAACATGATTCACAATGTAATGGTTCTAAAAATCGTAAACCAAGCGAGAACAAAATAGATTTGGCAATCGAAGGAGCTGGATGACCGAGTCTACGATGCTAGGTAGACGCTTGGATAGCGTGACACACAACGGATGATGGTTGGGAGGGAAGGGGGTAGAGACCATGCTCACAGAGGCCCTTATACCGTACTTGGTTGGTAGTGTTATCCACTATCTGAAATTCATTGGCATTAAAACAATGGTGCAATTGTTATCTTTGGTAAAACGATGAAAAGATAACAAATTAGATGTAAGGGAAGGGACATAATGAAGGGTGAGGAGTTGGTATTTACCAGTAGATGTATGGAAAAAGCTTGAGCCTGTGTGTGTGATGGGTAAGGATTGATCATTTCCTACAATAATAGTATCAATACCAGTATATGGATGAGGAGATTGGAGCTGAGAATAATTAGACGTAACATGAGTGTTGACACGAGTATCCAGATACCAATCTCTAGGGTGATTACTTATAGATGCATGCATTGCATGGGGAGCACTATGAGAAGAGCTCGCAGCATAAGAGTCATCGAAACAATACCAGCACGGAGTGGACGGATGTCCTGGTTTATCACAAATCTGAGACGTTGGAAGATCTCGTGACGGTCGACTGTTGTTTGTGCCGCCACGACCGCTGTTATATCTACGTCCAGAGGATGGTCGACACCGGTAGCCTCCTCGACCACGACCTCGACCGTCTGTAGCAAGTAGAGCATTATGCAGCCCTCCAGAGAAAGAATCAGCTAGATTCAATTTTTGCTCCATCTCAATGTTAATTTCCTCTAAAGTAAACCATCCAGAGAGCTGATTGAGAGTGATGCCTATATTTTGCATATGAACATTTTGTTTGAATGAAGAATATTTGGCAAGAAGACCATGGATAATAGCATTGACAACATCTCGTTCAAGAATGTGTTCACGCAGAGCATCAAGATCAGCAAGAATTGTTGTGACTTCATCAAGGTATTGGGACATAGATTTTGTACCTTTCCGCGAAGTATATAGCTTATCATGAAGTTGATAAATATGATCGATGGAAACTGAATTATACCTTGTAGCTAATGCTTCCCACAATGCAGCAACAAAGATGGTGAAACCACGAGCATGCTTATGAACGGCAGGACTGGTGACGGCAAGAAGACAGGCCCGGATCTGCGTATCAATGATTGTCCAAGAGACAAAGTCTAGATTTGGAGTAACTATTCCATCTTAGAGAATATTTTTAGATGGAGTTTTCTCGGATCCATCAATCCAACCAAGAAGAAAATTTGCTTCAAGCGTGGTTTTAACATTTAGTGACCACGCAGGGTAATTTGTATTTGTAAGTTTTTCAGGAATCAAATTCTGGAGACTCCAAAGTAAAAGTTTTACTCCAGAGGGTAGGGTGGCCAAGGATCGACCGTCGGTAGCATAAGGTGGACTGGTGTATAGTAGTGGCTTGGTCGAAAAAAGAGATTAGGTTTTGGGAGATTTTTGCTCCGATACCATGATACAATTTGATAATAATTGGTCTTATTGAATATTGAAGAATACCTCCCTACATATATGGATTAGAAGAGGCAGTTCCAATCCATGTAGGAAAAAGAATATAGTAATAAAATACAATAAGGAAATAGAAAAATAAGGAAAGAAATATATTTGATATTAATCTATTCCCTAATAAAAATCATTAGTGATAAGCGGGGGTGACCGGTAACATGAGTGGTTGGCGGTGACAATGGTATCCGGTGGCGAAGAATGACCAAGATCTGAGAGAGATATCAAACTCTCAAATTAATATCTCCATAATTTGGTAGATATCGAAACACTCTATTTGAAGAATTTATGATATGTGGAGATATCAAATTTGATCTCCTTTACCTTTACCAAATACTAAAAATAGATTTTGATATCTAAAAATATCAAAACTTATATCTTGTTTGTTAACCAAATACTCCGTATACCCTAAGATCTTTAATCCTAATTGTAGTTGGTCACTCTAGTCTCTACAAAGACAAGTGTGGTTAATTATCTCAAATCTCATTAGTCCGTACACATACGTATGATTGTTGCACTGAGACAGCACTGCCTAAAAGCCCGGAACCACCAAACACCTGGAAACGTCAGTCAGTTTACTCGAAGAAAGGAAGAAAAAAAAGCCATTGCCTAATCTTTCCCTCTCCTCCGCCTGCCTTCTCTCCGCCATGGCCGACGTTTCGATTTCTCTCATTCAGCTCCTCGACGACGACGACGAAGACTTCCGGCAACACGACGTCGTCGACGAAACCAATTCCTTCCCCTGCTGGTTTCGCGATTTCGACGATTCCTTCGACGCCTTCGCCTCCGCAGATCTGTCCGATCTCCAATCCAGGCGGCGGGGAAGGGCGGAGCAGTCGTCGGACGGCGACGCCTTCGATGGGGATTGCATCGACTTCTTCGATCGCGATAACCAGGTCAATTTCGTCATGGACCTCTTCCACCAACGCGTCGAGCAATCTCAATCGCCGTTGCAGGTAATTATGGACCCTAATCTGGCGGATCCCGACCCGGGATTCGTGAATGAGGAACCCGGATCCGCTCAATTGGAGATGGATCTAGAACGAGGGTTAGGTCTTCGTGGGGAAGAAAACCCCCAAAATTGTGAGAATTCTTCATTCTTCTTGGAAAATTGCGACGATGAGCCTCACTATGTGACAGGACTGAGGGTTATTGACATGGAATCCGATTCGGATTCCGACAAAAACTCAATTTTAGGGCTGAATTTCAATGCAGAAGACATTGATGATGATGATATCTGTGGTCCCAACATGTATGAGAATGAGAGTGATGATCCAAGCTTACGCCTTTGTTGGGAATCTTTTCAATTGGAGGATCGCAGGGAGGCAGTGAATGAGGATTTCGAATGGGAAGAAATTGATGGTCGAATCGAGGAGCAGGAGATTCTGAGCTTTTTCCTTGAGAATGATGGAATCTCAGTACCTGCACAAGAGGAGAGAAATCTAATGGGGAATCTGGAATGGGAGGTTCTCTTGAATGATCATAATCTGGTCTTGAATCCCGAATTGAGAAACCAAGATTTCGACCTGGGTGATGAAGATGAGTACAATTACACTGCAGAGTATGAGACGATGTTCACCCAATTCGCAGACGCAGAAAATGCTTTAATCACCAGGCCACCTGCCTCTAAAAGTGTTGTGAAGAACCTCCCCGAAGTGATCTTGAGCAAAGAAAATGACCCAGAGAAGAACGATGCTGCCTGTGCGATCTGTAAAGATGAAATGGTCATCGGAGAAACAGTGAAGATTTTGCCTTGCTCGCATAAATATCACCAAAATTGCATCTTTCCGTGGCTTGGGATTACCAATACTTGCCCTGTTTGCCGATATGAGTTGCCAACTGATGACCCTGAATATGAAAGGAAGAGGAGGACACAATCACAGAGTTGATCACAAGTCCCATTGAAGATGATATATACTTTCTTCAGGAGCTCTTTATGGCCTTTGGTAAAAAAAGAAAAAATGCCAAACACTTTGCAAGATAAACAGCTATAACCTGCTTGCTGATGAGGCTGTAGTTTAGGGTATTGATATATGCTATGACAATTTGTATTATGTTTGGTGTTACTACTACTTTGCCATCTGCAATAAACCACATCTTATATTTTCTTTTGTGTGTGTGTGTGTGCATGTTTGTAATTTGTGAGGTGAGTTTCAGCTTTTCTAGTGGTAATCTTAGGATGTATTGGATTGAGATTAAGAAATTTGGAGAGTGTGATTGAGGTTCATTTAGACAGAATTTTTTTGGGGTCAAGTTTATTTTTTTTAAGCAAAGTATTCTGGAATAAAAAGGTCTCGTGCGACGGATGAAGTATAAAAATATGGTTCCAAAGTGGGACTTGATAAGTTTATCTCATTTGATTTGGTTTAGAATTATCCTTGGGAATCCAAGTTTGACCTCATCTTTGACAAATTTTCTTACCAAGCTTTTACACAACAATGACGAATGTTAGTGAATATATGAAAGAAGGTCGTGTCAAATTTGGGATATAATTAGCATTCTTTAGTTTTGGGAAAGGTTAGTTGTTGAGTATTTTAGGTAATACTAGGAGAACCCCATTAGTGTACTTTATGTTCTGAGCAATGTAAGGGAAACTCCATTTATGACACCATTTTTAACACTAAAGACACAAACACTTACAGATACTTATACATGAATAATTATTGCTTTTGTTTGTCTTTGGAATTAAAAAAATATTATAAGTGGAATTTCCAAACAAGTGTTTGACTCTATTGGTATACTTGTGTTTGCCCTTGGTGTGTAAAGTGATGTGCACCTTGGGATCCCATAAACTTTATTGTATCTTCCAAAGACTGAAGACTGCCAACGGAGCACAGACAGATGTACTTGTATTTACGTTTGGTGTGTAAAGTGGTGTGCAACTTGAGATATCATAAGCTTTATTGTACAATCCAAAGAATAATGATATTGTCATTTTTGTTAATGACACATTCAAAATCACTGTACACACACTTTAAATTCTGATTTCATAGATGGAAGTTGAATTTGGACAATGTTATAATCAGTCACTTTATTCAAACTGCTCGAACTGATAACTCATACTCGTATAATTCACCCAAAACAAGGCCATTTTAAACCCATTTTTTATTTCTCCATTTTGAACACATCAGTTACAAAACTATCTTCAAGTTTTTACTCGGAATATTCCCAAATAACTCATCTCTTTTTGAGTCATACTACAAAAATTATTTCAATAACCTACTTTTTTTGTAATTTGACTAAGTTTTTTGTTGTTTAATATATGGGCATGCATTTATAGAAGGTGTAAATCATCCTAAGCATGGTAAAAGTCTTGTTTACAGCTGTAATACAACAGGATAAATAGCTTCAGGCTTTAAAGCTACTGAGCATTACCTAAACAGTTTGCCAACTTTCAAAACTTGTTTCAAGAATGAAGGTGTGCCCTTCCCCTTTTGATAGTTTAGACCAAACACACCACCAGGTTGCATTTTCAATCAAAGGGTAAAAGAAACCAAAGATTAGTTCCCATTCATGGAAGGCTGGTGGGTCACATTAGCACTGCATGCTGGAGTTGACGCGCTGCTCTCGTCCTGAAAATTAGCCGGATCTGCGTATGACAGGTACCCAGGAAACCTGGCGCAGCCGGACACGTATTTGATGAGAAATAAGTAACGTCTTAAACAGAGGAGAAGGGAGAAAAAATAAGTTGTAGTTAGGGTTGTAAATGAATCGAATATTTTTTGTTCGATTCGTGATTCGTATTTGTTTAAGGTTATTCGTATGCGATTTTTTCAAATCCGAATACGAATAAATATTCGAATCCTTATCGAATACGAATATGAATCAAGGGTATTCGATTCGTGAGTTTGACAAATATATTCGTAATATAAATCTAATTGTGTGTGTGTGTGTGTGTGTGTGTGTGTGTGTGTGT